ATACCAAGTATTGGGTCTTGAAATGACTCGAGCAAGATTAGCATAAACTTGTGGTAAGGGAATGCCTTCTGCACTGGTGGTTTCTTCAAGTTGTGTCTCGAAATCGGTATCTGAAACATCAACTGTCGTAACACATCCAAAAACTCCTTTTCCTGATGTTGCAGATGGAAAAACCGGAGGACGATGCTGTGATGAAGGTGTATTCTGCGGTGGTTTCTGCATCTGCTGCGTCTGTGACGTCGACTGTTGCGTTGGCGGATGTGACTTCGGTAACTGCTGCGATCGATGATATGGTTGTGAAGTACTGTGACGGTTTTGATGTCGACTGCGACAAGTTTGGTAAGTATGTCTTGGTTTCTTGCAGAAATTACAGAAGGGATATTTCGGGGGAAGCCGTTGCTGCGGCTCCGGATTTGAGTAAAACCTTAAGTGTATCCCCTTTTTCTGATTGCGTTGTGACTGCAGGTCAAGATCTTGCTGTTCTGCTTGAAGATATGAGGAAATCTTGGCTTCGGAGAGATTCGGGTTCATGCATAAGAATGCGCGCGTCTGTCGCCACTCGGGACCAAGTCCAGCAAGAAGGACCGTGAGATACATCTCATGAGGGAAGTATCCACCACTCTTCTCCAATTGATCTCGTAGTGTGCGGACACGATTGACATAATCCATGACATTCTCATTGGTCATCATCTGCACATTTGTCAGCTGCGAAAGAATCTTACTCACTGTGATTGTATCCTTTGCCATGTACACCCCCTTTAAATGGTTCCATGCAGTTTCAGCTGGCGTAAAGCTGGAATGAAAAGATCGAACGCTGAGCTGCTCCTTTGCCAATAAGTTTCGAATGAGAACCGTATACGCCCCGAGAGAAGCGTGCAAGAAACTCTGCTACTCCAGTTGTGCTCCCATAACAGGATATGTGAACTCGCCGGTGAAGAACGGCCATAGCCCGGCAGACTGCGCCAGAAGTTCAAACTCGAAGCTCCAGGAGTAAAAATCAACTCCGTTAAAAGGTATAGTGGTCTTGATCTGTGTGCTGCTAAGTAAATTCGGCGGTTGAAAAACAATACCCTGTTGTTGAGGCTGTTGCTGTTGTTGAAATTGATGCTGTTGTTGCTGTTGCTGATGTTGCTGTTGCTGCTGCTGCTGTTGTTGCTGAGCAGGTGAACGCCCGAAGATGTAAAAGGGCTGCTGCTGCTGAGACTGCGGCTGCTGCGTAAAAGGTGAGAATGCAAATGAGCTAGTACTTGGAGATGGAGCTCCACGCATGTAACTTGAGCCGTCAAGGCTCATTCCACTAAACGCTGATGATATTGACTGAGTTGAAAACTGCTGTGTTGTTGCCTGTTGTTGTGCTGTTGCCTGTGTTTGCTGTTGTTGCACTGCAGGGGCAGTCGATGAAATCCCTGGAGTACTAACAGAAGAAGGATTTTGCTGCTGCTGCTGCATACCGATGTGCGCATAAGCCGGTGGAAACGGTCCAGAGGCTGAGAGACCAGTGGCAGTCGAGGAGACAGGTACTCCAGTAGTTCCGGGACTAGATCCGGTAGATTGTGCTAGTGTTGTTCCAGTCATTGTGGACAGTAGTCTTAATTCCAGACAGCTCTCATACCATGTAATAATTTGACAGGTGTTGCAGGAGACTAAGTATAGAATCTGCAAACATGAACACTTGGAAAACCTCAAGTGTTAGCCTATGATCTTTACTGGAATGGTAGACTAGTAAGACGGTGGAAGTCTTAGAACTTGTAAAGTAATGACCAGAATTTACTGAAGAACAAATTAAGATCAAGTTCAGAATCAAGTTAACTAAACAATGAAGACAGGCTACTTTTATATCTAACAGAAGTACCTGTTCTTTAATGTACATGTTCACACTATCGCGCTATGCGCCCTAAATGACACTGAAGAGACGCGACTGTTCGCGTGACTGAAACGACTGTCCTCATGACGGGCGCTATTTGCTGACGTCATCCTACGGACTTATCTTCTACAGTAGGATTCGACACTATCTATCGATAATCGACTTACAGAAATGCTAAGTATGAATCATATCACAACACTTAGCAGGCACGCGTGGCAGGATGCATGACACGCTGAGCGGCGAAGTCCCTATTGAGGGCAGCATCACAGTCACACAAGGGGCGGGAATCCTGCCAAGTGCAGATACTTCACGTGACACGTGCGGGGGTGAAATGATGGCAGGCAGCAGATGACGTAGTAGAGGAAATCTCGTGGAAAGTACAACGTGCATGTATGTCGCATTCAGAGTCCATACGCGATGTACTCTGAAAACTCAGTATCCGCACAACGACTAGTCTGAAAACCTCAGGATCCAAAATTATACAACTCTGAAGGGTTCAGCATCCAGAAAAGCCAAAGTCTGAAAAATCAGGAGTGGCCAAAAAATGGGTCTGAAATTTCAGACAATCTGACTAAAACAGTCTGATAAAATCACCACTGCCAGCGGGTGCGGGGCCAGCGAGTGAGGGGCCAACGAGCGCCGGGCCAACGAGCTACTGCGGCTAGGACGAGCTACCACGGCTAGGGCGGGCTAGGGCGGCTAGAGCAGGGCCCTAGATTGGTTTTGAGGCTTCCTGATCCATCAGGATTCTCCCTGCAGAAAAGTCTGAATTTTCAGGGTCCCCTAAAAAAAAATCCTGAGCCATCAGAATTACTTTAAAAAAAATACTGATTTTTCAATCTTTCTATACATGTTTTAGTTCATGAATTTTGTGTGTTCAAGTCTTGGTTTTTGGGGGTGCTGGGAATTCGTAGCGAATTCGCGCGTGTGTGGCGAGATAGGGGGATGGGCAGGAAACGACAATTGGTGGGGGGGAGAGGGGGGAAGGGCTGAATAGGGGGGGATGCGACGAGATTGCAGGGGCGGAGGGAATCTCTTCCCTCGCAGAGCCCTAGGGCAGGCGCACATCAAGCAAATTCGGCCAAGGGCCAACAATTGCCCTCACACAGTCCTCATCACACCTCCCTCACATGACCTCCAACATACAGCACGGAGATTTTTTTGACCAAGGGCCAATCAGCGCCCTCAAACAGCCTCAGGGGGTGGGGGAAGGGGGGGGGGACAACCTCGAAATTCTTGACTGCCCCCCCTAGACACGCTTTTGGAAAGGACTAAGACCCGCTACAATGCTGAGAAATTCAGGGTTCGCTAAGAAACCTTGATGAGCGATCAGAGTTTACCCTTAGAAAAAGGCCTGAAAAAACAGGGTGTGTCATTTACAAAACCCTGCACAATCAGGGTAAGTACCGAGAAACTCCCTGTTTTTTTCCTGAATCAGGAAAATTTTCCTGACTTCTGGGGGCCTGGGCTAGAGCAGCTAGGGCGGGCAAGGTAGGCTGGGGTGGAAGTTGGTGGGCAGACCTAACCTAGCTGATACCATCTCAGAGTAGCGGATTAGACTAGAAAAGACCGTATAGGGTAGTTTTGTGCTAGGTGTTGTACTTTCTATGGGCATGCACCTATCTAGCCTATAAACATATACAAATATATGTAGACATACTGCACGCTCGCCTGATCCCAAAAAAGGGAGCGGTTTCACTAGGGTCCGCATGAAAAATTGGGCACGTATTTGAAAAGCTGGACTGAATACAGGTAACCGTTCTAGAATGGAGCCTTTGCTAACCTTCCCGTACCCTCCTGAAGTGGAGTGGGATGGGATGGGAACTCTAGTTGTATTAAGTGATTGGGCTTCGTATATACGTAGGGTCCGTTTGGAGCAGTAAAAACAGCGTGTGAATAAAGTGTGCCCTCTTGTTTGGCTCAGCTGCGCGCGTGGCGTGTTGATTCTGAGAAAACAGTGTGAATGTGAGCTCACATTGTGAGCAGAGTTCACACTATGGCCCCTCCACACCATACTTCTCCTATACAGACATCCGCTCAGGGCCTATTTTATCAGAGTAATTTACTCTGTTTCTCTGAAAATCAGAGTCGTTTTTGAAAACTACTCTAGGGGCCCTGAGTAGAAATTTTGAACTTCAATTTTACTCTGATTTTTCAGAGTTAACTTTTGTACCACTCTGAGGGTCAGTGAATAGGGGGGATACCTGCAGATTTTTCATATAACCCCCTGTACCTAGCCATACCCCTGTATCCCGCGGAACGTGTCATTTCACGCGCACTGACAAAATCACCGGTCCGTGCTCGAGGTTGTGTGAGGGGGCTGATTGGGCCTTAACCAAAATCACCACGCCATGTGTGCTGGAAGGCGTGTGAGGGCGCAAATTGGCCCTTCATCACATCTGGGGTCGAGCAAGATGGGTTGTTTACTGTGTGAGGGCGTCGTGGGCCCTTCACCAGATTTACACATGTGCTTGCGGGGCTGTTTGCGGGAAATCCCACCCGTTGCTACCAAGCATTGCTCCGTGTTTCGCGGCATCTCTAGCGTGCTACAGTCCACCCGAGCGTCGCATACCTCCACTGTCGCTGCCGTTACAGCCTTCGACAATACCGAGAGACCTAGTAGCCGGAGCTCTGCTAATGGGGGCCGCTCGTTAAAGTCGATATTTTTCCGCACCGGAGCGCAGCACGGTGAGGGACGCCCTGCAGAGAGCGCAACGTGCCACAGCCCCCGCAACAGCCACTGGCTCCACGTCAGAACATGATAATGGCGAAGCGAGAGGACGGATGGGGAGGAGGGCTGCAAGGGCAGCAATCGACGGCTGGAAATCGTGTCAGCGCGCAGTCGCAACAGCAGGAACGGTCGAGATCGCGGCAAGGGCAGCAGCCATTTGGGCTGCCGCGAAAACAGGGGCCGGCCAACCAGCAGCAGCACCCACCGCAGCATCCGCCGCAGCATCCGCCGCTGCAGCAGCAAGTGCAGCTGCAAGATTGCCGTTTTCTCCCCACATGCGCATTTCGCTGTTTTTTTTCGCCACTCTGCAACAGAGTTACTTAGAAATCCCCTCTGAACTGTCAGTGTAAATGTTGTAGAGAGAAAAAAAAACCCTGGAAAATCAGAGAAAACATTGGGGGTCACTCTGATTTTCAGAGTAATGAAAAAAACCACTCCCAAAATTCAGAGTTGTAAAAATCCAAAAATAGGCCCTGCATCCGCTCACGTTTACATGCGCCTACGGTCACATCCTCCTGCTGTCACATTCTCCTACTGTCACATCTTCCTACAGTCACATCACATGCTCTTCCGGTGCACGGCTGCAGGCCCCCTCTCGTTGTACTCGGCACGAGTTACGTGTTGGTTCTGAGAGAACACAATGCGAGCCACGATGGCGCCGCCGTACCATGCAGCATAGCAGGCGGTGTTGTCCGGCATGTATTCAGGTGCCTGGGGGTTGGGGAAAAAGCGGACGAAAAGAGGGAGTGACATCAGCATCACCATGTTAACCAGCACATTCCAGACTTACATGGGTCTTTCCCCCTTGGCATGGCCAGTGAAGAGCGCTCACGGGAGGCAGTGCTGTTGGTAACGGAGCCAGCAGCTGAGAAAGGGCGACACTGGTGAATGCTTGCACCACACCGCATCACAACTCCTGCTATGCAAACCGGTCCCGGCTGTAGCACACGTAGTGGCAGCAGCAGGGATTGTAGGACGAGTTGTATTGCCAAGTGAAGTGGCACGAGTTGCACGCGCAGTAAGACGCCGCGCGTGCAACTCGTGCCACTCCACTTGGCAATACCACTCGCACTACAATATCTGCTGCTGCCATTGGCGCTACAGCTGCTGCCACTACGCGTGCTACAGCCGGGACCGGTTCGCATAGCAGGAGCAGGGATGCTCAGTGTGGTGCAAGCACTCACCAGTGTCGCCCTTTCTCAGCTGCTGGCTCCGTTGCCAACAGCACTGCCGCCAGTGCTGCTGGGCGCCAGTGCCATGCTAAGAGGAAAAGCCCATGTAAGTTTGGAATGCGCTGGCTAACTTAGTGAGTCAGGCACGTTCAATGCAGCATATCATAATTGCGAGGTGCTACCACCTTACCTTGATGCACAACGGGCGGTGAGATCCGACGTTTGGTTTTCACCCTCCAAACTCATCCTCTTTAATCTACTCTCCCTCACGACAGTGGGTTGCAGGAAAGCACACAGCGCCATCTGCACTTCACTTCAGTGCCAACAGGCACATTGGGCAATGTACTAGTTGGTTCTCAAATCACTCACCCCACTCCCCCTCACGACAGTGGGCTGCAGGAAAGCGCACAGCGCCATCTGCACTTCACTTCGCACTCAAAAACCGATCCAACAGCAACATTCGGCAACGTATCAGTTGTATGGGTTCTCAAATCACGCACCCACCCCACGCACCCTCACCACAGAAAGTTGCAGAGAAGGAGAGAGGAGACATTGCCTGGGCTCTCAAACCACTCACCCTCACGACCGTGGGTTGCACGACAGTAGACAGCCACTGTGGGCAATGTACCAGACAGCCATCTTCCACCCACCCCACCCCACCCCACCACCTCACCACAGCGACTGACCCCAGAGCCTCACCCACTCACCCCACTCACCCCAACCTCCCCGCTCATCCCATTCACCTCACTCACCCTCAAAACAATAAGTTGTAGAGGAGGAGAAACCTCCGTCCGTGACCAATTCAGACCGATCCAGTAGCAGCTTGGGGACATCGTTACCACTGAGTCTTCACTATGAGGCATCGTTACCCCTTACAATCTTCACGCTGCAACAGATCCAGTAGCCCCTTGAACACACAGTAGCCCACAGGAGCAACGCGCACACCCAGCTTCCACTCACCCTCACGACGGTAGGTTGCAGGGAAGGAGGTAGCGCCATGTGCACTTCGTTCTGAAACCGGTCCAGCAGCCCCTTCAGGCACGACCCGCCTCCCACCACTGCAATCGACTCCAATGCCGCATCCCACTCACCAACCTGTCTCACCTATGCAACCCACTCACCCTCACGACGGTAGGTTGCAGGGAGGGAGGCAGCGCCATTTGCACTTCACTCTGAAACCGATCCAGCAGCCCCTTCAGGCTCGACCCTCCCCCCACCACAGCGATCGATTCCAACGCTGCTCGCTGCTTTCCCCCTTCCAGCCCCATCCCCCCTGCTCCCCCTCCCAACCCTCCTCCCCCGCCCACCCCTCCCATCCCTCCCCCCAACGCTCCACCCCCTCCTCCGCCCCCTCCTAGCCCTGCTCCGTCCATCACCACACTCAGAAGCTGCCGGACGATGCCGGCCGAATCGGGCCCGGCCAATGAGGAGGCCTCAAGGGAAGGTGGTGAGAGAGGCGAATGGGTGAGAAGGGAGGGTCGGAAGAGCGCTTCTGCAATGTCCCAGCGCTCCGGCCCAAGAGAGATGCGCTGAGAGGGGGAGGGAGGGATCAGGAGAGAGAGGCGAATGTGAGAATGGAGGGTCTAAAGAGGGCCTCTGCAATGTCGAAGCACTCCGGTCCAAGAGAGATGAGCTGAGATAAAGGAGAAAGGAGAGAGAGGAGAGTGTATGCGAGAAGGGAGGGTCTGAATGGGGCTTCTGCAATGTCCCAGCGGTATGTCCCAAGTGAGATGCAATGAGATGGATACAAGCACGCGACATAGTGGTGGGGGAGAGGGCCTGTGGGGGGGGGGGGGGCGGGAGAGGGAGCTGGTGGAGAAATGAGGGTGTGAGAAATGAGGCGACAAACATTGTGCCTGTGCTTTTTAAGTCAACTCACATTGTGCCTGTGGTATAAACTATAACAAGCCCGACCGAGCCTACAGAAAAAGCTCACCTGCCCGTCAGGCAGCACGAACTCTTTCCTCTCCTCCACAGCGCGGGCAGCTGCAAAACTATTTTCATCCAACGCCGCCTCACATGCCTCCTCCTTGAGCCTCTCCAGCGCAACAGCGTCCAATGAGAGGCCGCCACCTGTCAGCAAACCCCTCTCCTCCTCTCCCTCTCCCCTTTCTGCCCCTCCCCCTCTCTGCCTCTCCTCCAATACCAGCCGTTGGATTCGCTCTGAGAGATCGGAGCCGCCTATCGGCCAGCGACGAGCAGAAGAAGGGACCAAGGCTCCTTCTTGCACTACCGAGAAATCTGGTAAAGGGGGAAAGGGGAGGTTGAAGGAGGAAAGCAAGGGGTGCGGGGGGGAAAAGGCTTTTATCTAGTGGATTGAAAAGCCGAGCACAGGAAGATACCGATGATCCTTCTTGCACTACTGAGAAATCTGGAAAAGGGGGAAAGGGGAGGTTGAAGAGGAAAACGGGGAGAAGGGGCGGACGTGTGTGAGAGCGGTGGGAACGAAAGGGGAAAACGAAATTATGATGACGAGCAGAGGAAGGGACCAAGGATCCATCTTGCACTACGAAGAAATCTGGGAGAGGGGGGAGGTTGAAGGGGAAAAAGGGAGGGGGTGGGGGATGGGGCTGGGCAGAAGGAGAGGATTCAAGGAAACGTTGACCAAGTGGGTTAATAGCCAGCAAGCAGAGGAAGGTACTAGGATCCTTTCAACACTCCTGAGAAATCAGGAAAGGGAGGAAGGGGAGGTTCGAGGGGGAACCATTTTTGAGAATTCTAAAAAATGACTCCACTCGAGGGGGAACCAAGGGACGGAAATGCGTGTCGGGGCGGGGGGGGGAGGAACAGGGCCCCTTTAATCGATCTCCCGCTACCTCGATGCGCGGAGATCCTTCAGCAGACAATACACGGCGCGCTCCAGCTCCCGGAATACTGACATGGCGCCGTCGATCACTTCTACAGCTTGCGCCCCTTCCAGCTTGCCCTCCAGATCCGCCAGGACGACAGCGGGCCCCACCGGCAGCGGTATTCCCTGAGCGAGCCCGGGCCACACGTCGGTCAATGCCGCCCTCGCCGCTGCCGTCTGCGTCGCGCACGCTACCGCCTGCCTCTCCGACAGCAGCCCTTCCTGGTCAGCGCAGCCGAGCGCGTACCTCGACACCTCCACCACCGTCGTCGAACGCGCGAGGCAGTCCCTGGCTGAGTCCAGACGCCGCATCGTGTCCTCTGCCGCTGCCCGGACCGCTGCCTCCGTCGCGGGCTGCCCGCTCATCGCGTGGCCCAGTGGAAAATCCCCCGTCCGCTGACGCTTGCGCCCGTGCCCGCCTGCCGTCAGACCAGAGTGGTCCTCCCACCCACCGTTCTCCCCCTGCCCGCCGGTACCCCCCCCTTCCTGCCCCACTTCCTGAGGAGGTGGAGCCTGCCTCGCTGGGAGCGTTGCTGGTGCCGCAAGCGGCTGGACGCTGGGAGGAGGCGGCGGCGACGGAGGCGGAGGAATCGCCGCTGGCGGCAACGGCGTCTGCATCACTGGAGGAGTCCCCCATGGCCCTGGGACCCAGGGGGGTTCCACTCGACACAGGATCCCCGGGACTGGGGCCCCCTGCGGCGACCACAGGGGGAAGCTGCGCCGGCGCCGCCACCGCCGCTGGCGGAGGAGTCGCGGGAGCCGCGGGCGGGGGAGCTGCGGGAGCCACCAGCACTGGTGCTGGGGCAGCCGGCGTTGCCAATGCCCAGATCACCGCAGGCACGCGGGCAAGCACCCGAGCGACAACTTCGACGACGCTCGGGGACCGAGCGGCTGAGCCCCCTCGCTGCATCTGCGGGCCACGCTGCGGGGGGCTCGACGGCCTCCGCGGCCCGCGCTGACGTGTATCCCGCACCGGCAGACATCAGGGCGGGCTCTGCCACTCGGGCGTCCGCGAGCGGTAGCGCGGCTTCGGGGACTGCGCGGGCCAGCGATCACCCGCCCGCCGATCGTACAGCCGCTCCGGGGATCGCCCTTGCCCATATGACCGAGACGACGCCATCGCGGGGAGGCGTACGCTGGTGGACCCCGCAGGGGCGTGTTCGACGGCCGTCGACGGCTACCGCCGTGTCGACGCCGGGGGATCGCGGACGAGGACGGCGGGGAGCGGGGAGGAGTATAGCTCGGGGAGGTGCAGGCGGCACGTTCGTCCAGGCTGTTCATATTGGCTGACACGACTGTTAACTCGGGGGCGGAGGCCAGGGCGGAGAGCCCCAGCAGTGCTGAGATCAGACTAAGGGAGGTGGCTGCTGGTGGAGAAGGCGCAGGTGCTGGGAATGGTGAGGAGGGATCGGGTGACTCCAGATATTCCCCTTCTTCCGAGGGGAACTCCGAGTCTGTGACTGGGGAGGACAGTGCTGCAGAAGGAGGGGGCCCGAGGCGGAATGGGGCCCGAGCCGCCCCAAACCAGCGAAATGCGGAATTCGAGGAATTTCCGAACCCAAATCCCCAATTTCACTCGTCCGAGACGCTGGCGGTCCCGGACGATCTTTTCGACCTGGTCGCCAGCTGGGATATCGCTCCCCTTCGCGACAGTCGCCAACCCCCGCTTGCCCGACACCCACCCCGCCCCATTCGGGACCAATTCGCCAGCTGTCTGCTGACCCCGCTCCTCCGATTGGCCAAGGACCCGGACTGAGTGCCAGCCTGGCACCTTCTGATATTTCTTGCCCGCCTTACCCTCCGCGATGGCACTACCCTGAATGGCCCTTAGTCGAGCGTCGTTTGGACTCATTTCGCCGGGGTTCCTGGGCAGATCTTTATGCCGAAGCTGTTGCCGCCCTCACTCCCCCTCCCCCCCAGCGCCACATGCCTGACAGGACTGGGATTTTGTCTCGTGCCACAGGCTTAGCTAAGCGGGGGAACCTTGGAAAAGCCCTTCAAGCGCTGGAAGCCACCCCGGTCAGCCCATCTACCGCCGAAACGCTTTCCGTGCTCCATTCTCGCCACCCACCTGCCTCTCTTGACATCCCAAAGTGGGTTCACTCACACGCCCTCGAGCGTAAGCTAACTATCTAAGCTAAGTCATTCCGCCACATCATCAGCCAGCTACTTAATGCCGTAGGAACTGGCCCCTCGGGGACGTCCTTCGAAACCCTGCGCAACGCGGCGCTCCACAACTCCGACATCTGTGGATACCTCCTAGCCCTCACGAACGCGGCCCTCGCTGGTGCCCTCTGCCCCGAGGCCTCCGCGCTGCTCACATCTTCGCGCCTCCTTGCCTTCACAAAGCCAGGAGGCGGCACTCGGCCCATAGCTGTTGGCGAGTGCCTCCACCGTCTGATCGCCAAAGCAGCGCTACACCTCGCCACGCGGCCTGCCCAGCTCCACTTAACCCCCATTCAGTTCGGAGTCGCCATCCCCAGCGGCGCGGAAGTGATAATCCACATCACCCACGCCTATCTTGACATCAACTCAGGACATATTGCTCTACAAATCGACGTTTCAAACGCGTTCAACACGATTGAACGCGCCGCCATCTTTGTGCGGCTCTCGTATGGTGGCCCCTCCGCCCTCCATCCATGTCGACCACAGTTTCGGCTCCCCCCCCCTCGCCAGCGCCCGCGGGGTCCGCCAAGGGGACCCTATGGGTCCCCTGCTGTTTGCGGCGGGGTTGCACCCCGCGCTCAAGGAAACTGCCGCTGCCTTCCCCGACGTACTTGTCCTCGCCTACGCGGACGATGTCACGCTCCTGGGTCCGCCTGCAGCGTGCTCTGCTGCCTTCGCCCACCTCACCACCGCCATTGGTGGCTGTGGCCTCCGTCACAACCCAGCGAAGTGTGCAGCCTGGGGCCCACAGGGTGTGCCGCCAGAGACGCTACCGCCTGGCGTTTCCGCCAGCACCACATGCCTGCGCGTCCTCGGCAGTCCCATGGGGCCGGGGGACGCCTGCACCGCTGCCATCCGCGACCGCCTCGACACCGCCGCCGCCCCACTGCCACTGATCGCGGAGCTGGATCCCCAGATCGCCCTTCTCCTCCTCACCCGCGGCCTTGCCCACCGCGCCAGTTACTTGCTCCGCTCGAACCCCCCGGAGTGCCTTCCCCAGGCGGAGTGGGATGCCTGGGGCGAGCGGCTCTTCCACGCAGCGCTGGCTGCCTGCCGCCTGCTGCTCCCCCGCGCCAGACTCGAGAAGCGGCAGGTATGGGCGCAAGCCTCCATCCCAACCACCCTTGGCGGGCTTGGGATCTGCAACCCGGCTGCAGAGGCAGGAGCAGCATATCTCACCTCCACGGCGGCTGTTGCGCACTTGCTCAGTGGCCTCCTTCCAACCCTCCCCGCTACACTGGGACAGCTCCTGCCCCTTTTCAACCCCGACCCTGGCGCTCCATCCCCTCTGCCGCGTCGGCTGGCCGCGCTGGAAGCCGCCCTCCCGGACGCTGCTGCTGAGCTGTTTTGGGAAGAGCGGGCTTCCCCCGACCCACCCAAACTACAGCGGGCTTTGGCTCTGCAGGTTCAGGTGGAGCGCTTCACCACACTCTTGCAAGAAGCTCGCCAGCTGCCCCTGAACCCGCTCCAGGGGCATACCCAACGCCTCCTCTCCCTTATGGGTCCGGGGGCGGGGGATTGGCTCCACGCCCTCGCCCTCTCCCCCTCCCTGCGCCTCTCCCCCAGACACTTCTCCACCGCCGTCGCCGTCCGCCTCGGCCTTCCGCACTCTACGCCGGGACGCTGTGACTGCTGGCGGCGTGTCAACATTCAGGACCCCCGACTCCCCAACCACCTACGGTGCGACACGGGCCCAGGACGTACCGGCACGCACCACGCCCTCCGCGACGAGTGCGCGCGGATCGCCCTCGAAGCGGGCTTCATCACCTGCACCGAGACCAACCTCTTCACCCGCGTCACGAACCTCCGGGCGGACGTGGCCATCTGCCACCCAGACTTGGGGGCGGTTTGGATCTGACCTGACCGTCAGCGACCCCATCTCAAAGGAGGACGAGCATGCCCGCCGCGGTACTGGGTGGGCAGTCCGAATCACTGCCCGCGGGAAAGAGCGCAAGTATCGCCTGCCGGCCCGCCCCGAGTGGGTCGGTTTCTACGCCTTGGCTGCCGAGACCTACGGACTCACCTCCCCGGGGGTTTTCCACCTTCTCCGCGCCTGTGCCGAGCTGGCCGCGAAGCGTCGGTACGACGCTGCACCTACCTCACGCGAGGCCACCAAGCTGTTCCACGAGTACCACCAACGTTGGTTGGTGACTTTGCAGCGCGGGCAGGCCGTCGCCCTCAACACGAAAATCAACCAGGCCCTGGCAGCTGAGGGAAGCCCGCTGGGCTTCCCCGCGGAGCCCCTCCCCTTGGGCGACCTGCTCCAGGTCCTCGAGCCCGACCTGGGCGACCCTTAGGGTCGCCGTAGTCTAGAGAGCTAGGCGTTTGATGCTGCCTGTTTTTGTTTTTGTTTTCTGTTTCTCTCTCTCAGCTGCCATGCCTGTACCATGCCACCTACTTGATACAAGGACGTACTGGGGGAGGAACAGAATTCAATCATGTGAATTGGCCAGCACCAAGCAGAGGAAGGGACTAGCTGTCCTTCTTGCTCAACTGAGGAGTCTGGGAGAGGAGAACGGCTGGATGGGTGGCTGTGGCCGGAAGGAGGGCCAGGCGGGAAGGAAATGTTGGAGGGACACAAGGGGCGGAGATATGTGGGGGACTGGGAAGCCCGTTATAAGGCAGGCATCCGCGTTATAAGCCAGGAAACCACGTTATAAGGCAGGCATCCGCAATATAAGGCATGCATCCGCGTTATAAGGCGTTGGAGCAGCCCCCCCTTCACCTGTCTTGCCATGGCCCAGGTCCACACAGCAGCCGGAGAGGCGCCCGAGAGCATAGAGCGCCAGCACTGGTTGCTCCGCTGCAAAGAAGCCCGCGCAGCTGAAGGACTCGAAAAGAATCTGCGCTGCTTGCTCCCTGTCGGCCTGGTAAGGAAGGGAGAAAAGGGAAGGGAGAAGAGAGCACTGGCTGCTCCGCTGCAGAGAAGCCCGTGCAGCTGAAGGACTCGGAAAGGATTTGGGCTGCCTGCTCCCTGTCGGCCTGGGAAGGGCGGCAGAGAAGGGAGGAAAGGAGGAGGGGGAACGGGCGAGGGGATGGAGGAGTCGAACGAGGAACGCACTGGCTGCTCCGCTGCAAAGAGGCCCCCGCAGCTGAACGACTCAAAGAGGATCTGCGCTGCTTGCTCCCTGTCGGCCTGACAGAGATGGGAGGGAGGGAGGGAGGGAGGGAGGCCGGAGGGAGGGAGCGAGGGAGGGAGGGGGGAAGGGAGGCCGGAGGGAGGGAGGGAGGGAGAGGAGAAAGGGGGAAGGAGCGGAGAGATGGAGGAGTGCAATGGGAAGGACGGGCTGCTCCGCTACAAGGCGAAAAGCGGGAGGCACCTTTGAGCCAGCTGAACACCTCACCCATGAGTGTGACTCACTCTGGGGGTGAGGATGGGCTCACACAGCAGCACAGCCCCTTCGTCGCCCTCTTTTGCCTCCCTCCGACTGCCAAGACGTATTCCTACACACGAGTGTGACTTACCCTGGGGGTGAGAATGGGTTCACACAACACAGCAGCACAGCACGGCCCCTTCCCCCCACCCTCCCACCCTCCCACCTTTTCGTACAGCATGTAGTGCCACGAGGCCTCCATCACTCCAAGGGTGATCATATCCTTCAACAACTCTACACAAGTTGGCTCGCCTGAGTACGGAAACCTACTCTGGGGGTGAGGATGGGCTCACACAGCAGCACAGCCCCTTCGCCGCCCTCCTCCCACCCGATCTGTTCGTAAAGCATGTAGCGCCACGCGTCCTCCATCACTCCCCAGTCCACCACCCGCCCGCGCTCCACCCCCACCACCACCCTCCCCCCTCCTTCACCGCTGTTGCTGTCTCCCACGCCATTGGTGGCTGGGCTCTCTCCTGGCGCTGCCACGAAACGATTGGGAACAATCTGGATATGGGCACACATGCACAGAGGCGAGCACGCACATGGCACAGACGCGAGCACATACATGGCACACAGACACAGATGCATTTTGAGTGAACTCAAGATTGGTGGCTGGGCTCTCTCCTGGCGCTGCCACGAAACGGTTGGGGACAATCTGGAAAAAGAAGTACAGATGATGAGACACTCACAGGAACACACACGTGTGCGCAAGGTTGCATGAGTGGTTGCGAGAAGCACAGGTAGCATGGGGACAACTGAGAGTGGCACGGGTGTTAACGGCGCTGAGTTTGGAGCACTGGCGGACCTAGCCTGCAGATACCGAGAAATAAACCGCACAGGGGCGGAACTTTAGTCACACTGCACCTGCGAATTACACCGGGGCCGTGAGTTTCCAGCTTCAGGGTGGGGCTTGAACGCCCCTGACTCGAAGCCGTGACCTGGAACCCGATTCTCGAGTCTCTTTCTTTCGAGTCAATTCAACCATAAAGGGCGTCTCAAGCTGCAATCACCACAGAAGATAGGCTTCAGGCCTGGCATACCCAGCATTGCGTGACTGACCCACAATCCGTAGCCCCAGAATCCATTTCTCTCGAGCTCAAGTATCCAGGTGGACTCACCACTGTCGGGTCAGCGTCAGGAATGTCATAATTCGCTGTGAACGTCCCTGTCCCGCAATCCATCACCACCGGATCCATTTCTCTTGGGTCTCTCACCCGTTCTGGTAGGCACTCACCACAGGAGGGCCAGCGGCAGGGTTGGCTCAACCCGCCTTGAACGTGCCTGACCCGCAATCAATGAGTGTCGGATCCATTTCTTTCGAATCCAACCGTCGAGATGCACTCACCGCAGGGGGGTCAGCGTCAAGGTTAGCGTACCCCGCCTTGGGACGCCTCGACCCGTAATCGTCACCACGGGGTCCATTGCTCTCAGTCCTCGAGTCAATATTGCGCCAGTGCCAGTCTTAAGGTGAGTCTCAAGACGCACTCACCACAGGGGCATCAACGTCAGGGTGAGCTTAGCCGGCCTTGACCGTGCCTGTCCCGCAACCCAGCACCACGGGAACCTTTTTTCTTCAGTTTCTCGCCCGCTTAGCGATGCACTCACCACAGGGGGGTCGGCGTCAGGGTTGGCGTAGCCCGCCTTGAACGTGCCCGATCCGCAATCCACCACCACCGGATCCATTGCTCTCGGCCTCTCTCCACCCAATTTTCTCCCCCTAATTCAAGTCGATTCCGGTGCTGGCGAAAGCAGTGTTTTGCCACGCAATCCCCCGGTCAGATCACGTCCCTGCTGGCGCGATCAGCTTGCCACGTGTTCTGCCGGACTCAGAGGGCAACGGGCAGCGCCGGCATTCCCTAGAAGCTCAGGTGCTGTTTGAAGCGAGTAATCGCAGGTGCTAGGATGTAAAAGTTAACGACGCTACTCGCCGCGGCAGCGGCTAATATTGACTAGTGTACGATTACTCGCACGCGGCCGCTCCCGCTGATTGGAGGCACCTCTGAACGAGTGTTCGAAACTATCAGTCACTCGGGAACTAGTTATCACTGAACACGTAAAGCGCGCCTTTCAGAGCTGGAGTAAGCCTACGAGTCCTGCGGCCTCCTCGCAGACCGTCTAGACTGCATGCCTAGGCAATCCGCTTCCCTCAAGTTGGTCCCACCTTTCTCGAGCAATTCGTGGCTGCAAGCCCATTTGTACCTTGAACCTCAGGGAGCAGTTCACGCAGATCGTTTTGCTGCCAAGATGATCTGATGAGATCTTTCATCGTGCTCGCACCCGATACGAAACAGTAGTTTGCTGACGAAAGCTTGCGAACCTGGGTTTCCCGTAAAAATATCTGATCTGAACGCCGAGCGGACCCGCAAGAACCACGCCCTCAGATATTTTCTCCTCGGAAAGAGATGAGTGGCGGGAAGTCTCCATCCTCTATTAGGTTTGCTCCTTACACGCCACAAGACTGCATTGAGCGTCATGCTTTATAAAAACAATGGTAATCACTTCCTCAAAATGGGGTGAAGGAAGCAGACACAATTGGTTTGCATCACGCATTATTTGAATGTGTCTTGATTTCAAATGCATTTAAATAATAGGAAACATGCGTAATTTAGGCCATATTATGATCCATAAATGGACGTGTCTAAAGTCAATATGTATGAATAAACGGAGCGTGCTTTAAGCAGAGCCTCACTATTTGCATGTGACATGACCACCTCAACCCACCCTTTCTTCACACCACGTTCCATGCCGAAATCCGCTTTTCATGCCAGAATCTGCTCTCCGCCCAAACCGACCACGTCTCGTTGTCTACTACGTCTTCCTTTCATGCCGCATTCTTGGTTCTCCAACGCCCCACACCTTTGGTTCTAGTGCATGTTTGACAACCAAAGAGACCTAGTGCCAGCACACGGTGCTCCAGGATGCCGCGTTTGTCCAACTGCATATGCGGCAGCGTCAGTGCTGGAGCGTCACATCACCATAATTGTCTGTCCTAAATCTGGCCCACTGGTGTCCTGAGGACACCATCATGTCAAACATGTGTATCTCCTATGCTTGCATAGACTGTATAGGGCCATCTCTTAGAGGGTACAACACTTAGGTATATTCACCTGTACTCTCTCCCTACTCCATTATTCAGTTCTCATTCTAACATAGTATCACGAGTAAGTTAGGATCCCCCACCTACCGCGTCCGCCCGTACCCTAGCTAGGCCCCGTCGCGCCTCCTAGCCCCGTTGCGCCCCTCCTGGGCCCTGCCGCGCCTCCTGGCCCCGTCGCGCCCCCCTAGCCCCGTCGCACCCCTCCTGGGCCCCGTCGCGCCACTAGCCCAGTCGCGCCCCTACTGGGCCCCGTCGCGCCTCTTCTGGGCCCTAACGCGCCTCCTAGCCCAGTCGCGCCCCCCCTGGGCCCTGCCGCGCCTCTTAGCCCAGTCGCGCCCCTCCTGGGCCCTGCCGCGCCCCCTAGCTCAGTCGCGCCCCTCCTGGGCCCCGTTGCGCCTCCCAGCCCAGCCGCGCCCCTCCTGGGCCCTTCGTGCCTCCTAGCCCAGTCGCGCCCCTCTTGGGCCCCGTCGCGCCTCCTAGCCCAGCCGCGCCCCTCCTGGGCCCTTCGTGCCTCCTAGCCCAGTCACGCCCCTCCTGGGCCCCGTCGCGTCTCCTAGCCCAGCCGCGCCCCTCCTGGGCCCCGTCACGTCTCCTAGCCCAACCGCGCCCCTCCTGGGCCCCTTCGTGCCTCCTAGCCCAGCCGCGCCCCTCCTGGGACCCGTCGCGCCTCCTAGCCCAGCCGCGCCCCTCCTGGGCCCTTCGTGCCTCCTAGCCCAGCCGCGCCCCTCCTGGGCCCCGTCGCGTCTCCTAGCCCAGCTGCGCCCCTCCTGGGCCCTCACGCGCCTCCTGGGCTCCATCGCGCCTCCTAGCCCAGCCGCGCCCCTCCAAGGCCCTATCGCGCCTCCTAGCCCAGTCGCGCCCCCCCCCTGGGCCCTGCCGCGCATCCTGGGCCCGGTCCCGTCCCCCCTAGCCCCGTTGCGCCCCTTATGGGCCCCGTCGCGCCCCGCCTGGCCCCGTCGCGCCCTGCCTGGCCCTGCCGCGCCCGTCCCGGCCTGGTGCCCGCTGCTACTGGCCTTCGCACCCGTCCTGCCTCGAGCTGTGTGCGGCCCGCTCGCCGTCACTGCCCCGGCCCTGCATCCCCCCTGGTACTGTTCCTCATCACCTGCACCACACTGCACTGCACGGTACCGCCTTGCACCGCCCTGCACCGCGCTGCACCGCACTGCACCGCCTTGCACCGCACTACGCCGCACTGCACCGCCCTCCACCGCGCTGCACCGCACTGCACCGCCGTGCACCGCCCTGCACCGCGCTGCACCGCCCTACGCCGCACTGCACTGCACTGCGCCGCACTGTACGGTCCTGCACTGCTCCTGATGGCGGCGGAGCTTCGTTTCGACGCTGAAGGCCAGCCCCTGGAGTTTGAGGCGTGGCTCGCCGACCTTCGCCGCCACCTCACCGGTCATCGGCAGGATGGCCACCCGCTTTCCGCACACCTTGACGGTACGCTCCCCTGTCCAGACCCACCTGCTGTGCTGCCCACTGACCCCACACCTGCCGAGCGTGAGTTCACTACAGCCGCTGCCCTTGCGCGCTCTGTCTGGCTTTCCCGAGACGCTGTTGCTCAGCTCGCCATTAGCAATGCCCTTCCCCCGCCTGAGCGCCCTCGCTTTAGGTCCATCACCACCGCCCAGGCTTACTTAGATGCTGTCATCAAGCGCTATTCCACCCCTCCTGCTGCCTCAGTGGGCCGCCTGATCCTCCCGATGCTCTTTCCCGACCTTGCGTCTTTCCCCACTGTCTCTGACCTAGCTGCTCACCTACGCACGATAGATGAGACCTGGCGCGCTGCCTGCACTGACGCACAGCTTAGAGCCCACCAGCCGCCCATTACGTCTACCCTCTACCTGCTTGCAACCCGCCTCCCTGACCGCCTTGCCGCCGCCCGCGACCGCTTCCTTAGCATTCACCCCGGTGAGCTCACCCTCACCGACTTCGTAGACACCCTGACTGTTATCGAGACCCGCCACCGCTCCATCACCCAGGCGAGCGGTACCGTACCGGTCCCTATCTTTCAGGGATGTGCCCCCGCTCAGTGTACCTTCTCCGACAGCTCTGTCGCTGTGGCTGAGACTGCTGCTGCAGCGCAGTTTCGTTCCGGGAAGGGCCGTCGCCCCAAGGCTGGGCGAGGCGGGGGCGGCGGGGGTGCAGGAGGGGGTGGTGGTGGAGTCGGGTCGTCTGGTGCTGGAGTTGACGAGGGGACCCTGCCCAGTCCAGCTGAGCCGCCGCCTCCGCAGTCGCAGCAGCCGCAGCAGTCGCAGCAGCAGCAGCCGCAGCCTCCGCAGCAGCCGCAGCAACCGCCGCAGACGAGGCAGGCGAGTGTCCTCCCGCCCGGGTGGCCTGGCGCTGGCGGTGGTCGGGCGCGTGGTGGGGTGCCGAGTGGTGGTCCGGGAGGCGTGCGTTGTCAGTACCAGATCCAGACCGGTCCTCGCGGTAAGATCGGTCACTCCACTCCTCGCTCTTTTTGTCGCCTGGACGACCTGTTTCGTCAGCGTTTCGGTCCGTCGCCCGACCTCCCGGACTGGCACAGTTTGCTTAGGCGTAGTATTCAGATTTTTGACATGGACATGGATGCCATTGTTTCTGCTCTGCATGTGATGTATGCTGATGACTCTAGTGTGCTTCCCCCTTATTACCCCTTGTTGCCTAGTGTAGGTGTGCCTAGCTTAGACTCCCCTGCTGCGTCAGGCGTAGGATCTCCTGTTTTGTTTAGCGTAGGTGCTTCCGCTGCTTCCCCGCCGCCAGACGCCACTGCTGCGCTTTCCTTCACCTTGGACTCTGGAGCTTCCCGGTGTTTCTTCCGCGACTCCACTACGCTGACACCGCTTCCTGTTCCTGCTGCAGTTTCTCTTGCTGACCCCTCTGGCGGACCGGTCCTCGCCCGCAGTTCCACCACCCTTCCCTGTCCGGCGGTTCCCTCGGGCTCTCTCACAGGTCTGCATATCCCCTCGTTCTCCAGGAACCTAGTTGGTGTCGGCTGCCTCCAGGACCTTGGCGTCACCACTACGTTCCCTGGACACGAGCGGTATGCGGTCTGTACCGAGGCCGCCACCGGTGCCCCCCTGTCCACGTTCCCCCGGGACCCGGTGTCCGGCCTGTTCACTCTGGACACCGTGACCCCCCCCGGCTGGGGCGCCCCCTCAGGTGGCTGCGTCTACCCAGGTTGCTGCTGCCTGCTCCTGTCGGTCCCTCACTCACCTGACTCTCCTTTGGCACCACCGCCTAGGTCACCCTGCGCTCCCGCGTCTGCGTCACATGTCCCAGCACGGTCTCGTCCTTGGTCTCCCTGGTTCTCTCCTCGCTTTTCCCTCCTCCCCAGCCCCACCTTGCACGCCTTGCGTCGAGGGTCGGCTTTGCCGTGCCCCTCACTCCTCCTCGTTTCCCCCTACCGCCGCGCCGCTGCAGACCCTGCACATGGACGTCTGGGGCCCCGCCCCCGTCCATGGGCCGCGTCGAGAGCGCTACATCCTCGTGCTTGTCGACGACTTCACTCGTTACACCTCGGTCTTTCCCCTGGAGCGGAAGGCCGACGTGCCTGTCGCCCTCATCCCCTGGCTTGTCTCTGCCCGTGTCCACCGCGGTCTCCCTGTCTTGCGTCTCCACTCCGACCGTGGTGGCGAGTTTGCCTCAGGTGTCCTTGGTCGCTTTTGTCGTGCGGAGGGCATCACCCAGACGTTCACCCTACCGGACTCCCCACAGCAGAACGGGGTCGCTGAGCGACGCATCGGTTTGGTCATGGAGGTGGCTCGCACCTCCATGATCCATGCCGGTGCACCCCATTTTCTGTGGCCGTTCGCCGTTCGCTACGCCGTTCACCAGCTTAACCTGTGGCCGCACCCCCAGCAGCCGCAGGTTTCGCCGACCCGTCTTTGGACTGGGTCCCCTGGTGACGCGTCTGCGTTCCACGTCTGGGGCTGCCTTGCTCACGTCCGTGCCTCCAGCACGGACAAGCTCACTGCCCGCACCCTTCCCTGTGTCTTCCTCGGTTTTCCCCTAGTGACCCAAGAAATTCGAGTCGTGGGCATCCTGTATTAGTAGCTCGCGTAGGGTACGGTAG